CCAAGACAACTGACAGCATAGACTGTGGTAAAACACAGTGAATTAAAAACCTGTAAAACAAATGGCCAACAGCGGGTAAAGTTTCCTGCTCGCAAACTTTAAATGCTCTGCTGATATCTTATCATGCCCCCATGACTTATTATCCATCAGCTTCATCACAATGTTATGGACTTCTTGCACTGTGATAGATACATCCTTGTCGTTCTCTACCTTATCAATTTCAGGGGGATTTCTCTTGACACAATTAAACAAATCATAATAATGCTTATGCCATAACTGACTAATTTCCTCAGAACCAAAAGCCCCAACAACACTTGATGGTTGGGGTGTCCTACAAGTATTTATCCTTCTAATTTCTCTCCAAAATTCTGTAGGACTGTGGTTTTGTAGTTTGTTTGCTAATGAAGAATTTCTAAGCATATCGTCATTCCTTTTTATGCAATGCAGAGCACTTTTTACCTTAGCATTAGTGTATTTTTTATATTCAAAGACTGGGCCCCTTTTTGGTTTCCCTGAGTCAGCCCACTGTCTATATGCCCTTCTGGCTTCTGCATAGAGCTCTTCTACATGATCAGTCCAACAAGGTTTAGCTTTTTGCTTACTATTTTTACGAAGTGGCCTACTCGAGGTAACCATAGAGTCTACAATTGCCTCATAGAGGAGGCACAGCTCTCTACCATGCTGCACGTTTCTACAGTTCATGTCCCCACATGTTATCGCACCCTTAGGGAGTTTAAGATTACCTAGAAGGACATCCAACCGGTTACCATACTTATGGAGATTCTGCTCAGTTAAACTGTCCCAATGTATTCTCCCATCTTGAGAGTCATTTATTATAGGCAACAGGGCTGGTAGATTACCTACATTTTTCGATACACAGAAGGGAATGTGATCAGAGACAGCAAGTTCTGAGTTTATGTTGATATCACTTATTGACTCATGGGCATCTTTGGAACAGATACGGTGGTCGAGCCATGAGGTTGAGTGCCATGCTTCACTGATATAAGTGTAGCTGCCCACCTGTAGAAGCGCCTCACTAGAAAGGACCAACCTATTGTCTGAACAGAATTGTTTTAGATGATTGCCAAATACAGACCTACTATTAGACACATTGGCATTCATATGACGGATTGACCTGAATATGTGACAAGATATAGGCAAGTCTGCTGAGGAATTCGTTTTCATTATGAGAACTTTCATAAGGCATATAGATGTGTAGTATAAGAAATTTCTTATCCTCACAGCTGAACTCCAGACTAGGGCTGTCGCGGTTGAGGAATTCCTCCTGCGGTGATTCAGGGTGGCTTAATATTGCGGTGTGCGATATTATTGCAGCCCTTTTTTATTGCAGTACTATCTAAACATAATGTTTACACATTTAAAAAAGGTTAAAAAATTGCCATGCCTTCTTTTATAACGCTTTACTGAATGCAGATCAAAGGGCAGTAACAACACAGATCGCAGTAACGTTTGTTTCTCCGACAGTCGGAGTCCGACTGAACTTAAAAACAACAAAATTCAGGAGGTTAAACTTTTAAATGCAAATTTGGCTGCAGCATCTAACAAATAAGAAACAAGTCCCCATTTTGTTTAGTTGTTTAAAATCAAGCATAAAAAATTACATGTACCGGGCACGCGCGCGCCGGGGGGCGGGGTGCGCACTATCATTTCACTTTCACACACACAAATGACGGTGGTTTATAGCTCGGTCACGTCCTTGTTACCCACAAGGAAAACCAGCATGTTAATCATATACGGTTTGAGAGAGGATCTGAGAGGGGTGGCAACATTTCCAGCAACACTGAAAACCCTCTCGGATGGTGCGCTCGTTGCACTAACGCACACGTACTTGCGTGCGACTGGCGAGCAAAGGGAATCTCTCCCGGTTGTTGCTCCACCATGTCAGGGGGGTTTCTTTAGGGTGGATGCATTCCTCCTGCAGGTAGCGAGTGAGCTCCAGCTCGGCTCAAACTCTCTTCAGGACGGTTGCAGAAGCAGTGCTTGTCCGGGACTTCAGCAGGTCTCCGAGCGTTTGTTATTATTTTTTTGCCGCTGGTGGCAGCTCTGTCTCGGCCAAGGACTCTGGCTGCGCAGCAGCTGACGTACTGAAAACCAAAGTGCTCCCAAAGGAGTGAAGTAACGTTTCGTTTTGATACCAGTGCAGCCATTCTTCTCAACATGCATCATTGAGTTGAATCAAGTTCAGTAATCGCGGTGGCCCATGATGCAGCGCGGTGGGTTTCTTCTTATTGCGATATTTCATTTTTGCGGTTACCGTGACAGCCCTACTCCAGACCAATAGCCCAGTCCACCTCCAGTCTGATTACTCTGACCAGCTGGTCATATCTTCTATGCCACAGAAAAGTCACTCCTCCGGAAATTCTTCCCCTCACCAACTTGGTGCTATAGTCAGTGGTAGATTCCCCTGCCCCAAAAAAGTCTTGATGCAAAATGTTGAGATCCTCTAAATCTTGCTTTGCTAGAAAGGTCTCCTGAATACACAGAATATCACACGTGTCCAATAGCTTATCCACCACCAGACGACGTGACTTGTCTGCCTCTGAATGATCTACTCATAAGCCACGCACATTATAAGATCCAACATTTATTTTCATATATTTCAGTTAATTTTGCCTTCTGCCGGCACTAGGCTGAACTTCTGCCGTGCTAGCCGAGGCTACCGGGGCAGCGGGCTGCAGCTGTAGTTCACCCTCAGCACCAGACGTCTTATTAAAACGTCACCTGCTTGGCTCAAAGAATCGGCGGACATATGTCCCTGATGGCCAAAGTTGTGGATCATAGATGTCGGAAACATCGCCACACTCAGCACTGACCTGGAACAAACCAAATCTGCCACTGCTGGAGTTGATCTTCCGACAGGTGCCACGTCTCCCCAGTCTCTCTGACAGGTAGGATGCTAACGTGTCTGCTTCCAGTGTCGGGGAGAATTGAGTGGCGAAAACACTTACCAATTTAGTTCTAATCACTGGGATGTTATCTACTACTCCGGTTCCAACTATCCCAATGTTTTTCCGCTGCTCCTTCCTTGGACGTGCAGCCATCCATCCTCCTTCACGCTGTGAGCTTTTGAGTCGCTCCTCTTTTCACAACGGTACTCCAGGTGGGGGACTGTGGCAATCCACCCGCACCTCCTCCTCCTGGCTCGGACGCATGTCCCGCTGTAAGGTTCTCCTCACCACAAACGTGCGCCAGTACCTCCAAATCCTCCGGCTGCTTCGGTGGGTTGTAGGTGCCCTCCAGAACTCTCAGCCTGTGATCCACAACTGCCACGGCTGCACCGAGATTATCACCCGCTTTTACTGCAGACTCCACTGCTGCCCTCAGGCACGCCAGCTCCCCGTTCAGCTTTTCCATCCCGCTGAGTAGAGCCGAGGCATCCAAGTTCCCGAACCCCACAGAAGGAAGCTCATCCAAATAATGAGAGATGAACCTGGGAATGTTTTCACCACACTCGTTCAGCACTTTCAGACAATCTTTGATGTTAGTCTTTTTGTTGGCCTTTATCCCTGATGTGACGCACAGAGGAACTACATAGTTCAAATAGCAAGCGTTTGGATTCTTCAATCCACTTCGATGAGAAATTGTTTGAGACTAATAACACAATTTCATCTTGGGAGAGATTTCTCATTTTGACAACAATAAAATTTAGAAGTTCGTCTTCCACAATTGTTTTTCCATCTGCTGTCTTATATATAAGGATCTCAGATTTTCCTTGAGAACCACCAACTCCACCAGCTCCTCTGACACGTACAGCCACACCGGACGCCAGTGTGTGATGACTAATGGGACTGTAACTTTAAAGTTAATGCAGGAAATAGGTGTAGGAGACGATTTTAATGTTTAGCCTGCATGAAAAAGTCAGAGTGACTGATTATAATTAGAAATAATAATGAACACACCTTTAAAATATGCATTATGCCAGTTACCCAAAAAAACTTATAATAATAACAAGGAGGGTACAACGCATATGTTAATATTGGTTTATATCAGTAATGGAAACGAACAGTTAGACTATATCAGTAGTCTGTATAACCATCTTACAGCAGGTGTTAGCCATTTCATTAGTACCTGGCATTTGATTGGTTGGGTATAAATCTTTAAACACCATCAATCTGGATTATGTGGATATAATTTAAATGTAAAATACCAGCAGCTGATTTAACCAACTCTCCCTTGTTATAGGTTGTTTTACAATTTAACTAAATCATTTTTTCTTAAATAAAAAATGCATTTATATTTCTCATATTTAGTTAAAAAAGCATTAAAAGTGTGACTTTATCACCAAGATAACTATTTGCACTTATTATCAGTTCACACATTCTTTAACAAAAACAAACAGCTTGACACACACTTACGGTTTGAAAAAGACAGCTGTATAAAAGAGGTGGTAAAAGATGAGGTTATAATCAAGCGTACACCTCGCTATCTACATCTTCTTTGCACACATCGCAGCGCAAAGGCTCTCCATTCTCCCGTCTCCCTCCCTCTGTTTCTCTCCGTTTTTTGCAGCCTGCTCTGCAAAGTTATATGAAGGGCATCAGGCAGGCCTGGCGAGCCGAGTGCAGAGTGACAGCGGCGAACGGAGTGATGGCTCGGCCTGATAAACACCCAGCGTCAAATGAAAAGACTCTGCGCTTGCCATCATCCCCTGTCACAATGCAATTACTGAACAGAGTGATAGCAAGATAGCAGCCCCCACCGCTAGCCACAATGATAAAAGTATTGACTGATTTGATTGAATGATTAAAATAATGCAGACATAAAAATGGGGTGAAGATAGAGAGGAAAATGGCAGAGGAGAGGGAGAAATGGAGAGATGGAGGCTGGGCTGCCATGAGTGAAGCTTTTGAGATATGGTTATGTCATTATTGTGTGCGTGTGTTCAGATGTTTGCTCCATCTAAAAAGTGCTTTTGGTTTTGTTCTTTTGTTCGGTGTTGCTTAATTCCTCTGTCTTTTTCTTGTCTCCCTGGCTCTCAGGTTGCCATTTCTGCTGACGTGAAGGAAGTTCTGCTATCAGATGGGAATGAGAAGTCCATTCAGAGTATCCTTTCATCGTCCTCTCTCCTCTTTCTGTCTCTCCAGCCCTGCCTCATCTCACTAGCTCACATGTGTTCATCCTAAGAACTTGTTTCAACAAATATTTTTCCCCTTTTGTGTTTCACTGAAGCAGAGTTTGATTGTACATTACCTTGAATACAAATCTTAACTTCAACCTTCCACTTTAAAAATGTATTTTTTAGTATTGTGCACAAAACTATATATGGATATCTCCAATGGAATTCATATATTTGAGTTTGTTTATTGTAGATGATATCTCATTGATTCTGATTTTCATTGACCTCCAGCTCTCCCCTGGTCTGATTTAGAGCTGAGTGTGAAGCAGCTGGTGGAAGAAATAATATGTCTAAGTCTTGGTTTCTTGGTGGAAAAAAGATGAATATCTGCTTGGGGTTATAAATGACTGGTGGGTTTTCAAATATGCTGGGATTTTGTTATGCAGCTGGGAGCACAATGGAGCATGTGATTGACAGGTGGATCTGTGCATCCAGCAGCAAGGCTTTCACTACACTGGTCTGTCATGGCGAGTGGTGAGAGCTGAGCCAACAGGCCATTTAATTGATTAGTTAATCAAAAACCATCCATACCTTCAACCTGTGGTGAAGAACTGAGTTTAGTGACCAAAATAATACAAAAACAAAAGAGCTTTCTCAGAAGATTGTTCGGTATCACCATCAGAGGCGGATTTAGCTTTTTAGGGCCCAAGGCCCGCTGCAGCTATTGTTCAGAACCTTTTTCAATCCTTACTTTGAAAAAGGGACAGCGCAACTAGTATCTTCTTGCTGTTCATTTGCAGCATTGATTTTAATGCTCTTTTCATTTATTGTTACTCTGCAGCACTGTAAAAAATATTTTTCATTCAAATGTATTCAATTCAAAGGGTTAAAATAAAATATAACATGAGCATAATAAAAGCTGAAAACTCGAATGAAAAGAAGCAGGTAAGACAAACTGAACTCTTTTTTTCTAATTTTAAACTTAAGTTTCTAAAAGACTTTATTTCCTTTCAAATGATAATTACTGTCGCTTCGTACAAATAATGTCTGAACATATGCTAGTACAGGCTTTGTATGTGATTTGTAATACTGTACAATCAACTAAATAATGAAATTTAAGCACTTTATATTTTAGAAAGAGAACATTCAAGGGGACATCATAAAGATGATATTCTTCCGTACATTAAATTTTTTTTTTTTTTTTTTTTTGCTATTCTGTAACTTTTTTTTTAGCATGTTTGGTTTTGTTACGTTCCCGACAGGAGGTGTTAAAAATGTGAAGGAGGGGTAACATAAGAAACATGATAGTGGACTTAAAATGTGTTTGTCAGAAGGTAAAGTGCGCAAACAGATGGTAAGCATTATTCAAATAATGCCAAACAACAAATAATAATAATAATAATTCTCAAAAAGATTAACATTAAAAGGCAACTTAACAATTAAAACATCTGGTTATAACTTGTTAAAGTTTTACCAAAACGGAAGGCATTTTAAAACATGACAAAGTTTATAAAAGTCTAAAAACCACAACACAGGTAACCTTTAAGCAAACAAAAACAGAGATCACTACGCTCATAACTTAGTCAAACATGAGTTGACATCCAAGAGGGAATTACCCTCACTGAGACCCTTTAGTGGTCATACCAAAAGATCCTTCTGGTTCATCTCAGAGTTCTACAATTTTTAGTTAAAACTCACTCTCAGAGTTAAAACCATTACAGTTAAAACTCAGCAAATCACACAAAAAGGGGTTTTAAACTAATTCTGAGGCCTGGAGGACAGCAGAACCCCTGCACTGCTGCCTCCCAGACTGTTTCTTCGTCTTCAGTGAGGGAGGCAGGCTAGACGGCCCATGAGACGTATTGCTGCCACAGCCACCCAAACACACTTCCAGAGAGCGTCACAGCCTCTCATAAATCCCCGTCACATGCAGAAACCACATCAGGGCCCACACCCTACGCCGGTCCGCAGAGAAAACACTGACAGACACGTAGCCCTCAAACTCCGAAAATAGGTCTCCCTTTCACGACCATACTGTCCACAGTGCAGAAGAACATGGCACACAGACTCAGGCTCCCCACAATCACACCTCCCGTCCTTGTGTTTCCCCACCAAAAACAGCCCGCTTCGAAGACCACAATGCCCCAACCTCAACCGAGTGAGGACCACCGAGTCTCTCCTCCGAAGATCAAGGACCGACCCACAGCCACCCACCAAACGATGCAACCCATAAAAGCCCCTACCCCAAATCCCGCCATCCCACGATGCCTGCCACAATCTCATGGCCTCCCTGCCTATCGCTGAACAATACTCAGGGGAGCCCATGGCAACCTCCAGGTCCACAACAGTACTCTCCCAGCAGAGACGCGTCACATGCTTCCTAGGAATGTGGGCCTCCGCCACCGATCGCACACACCCAGAAATGGCTGAACACCAGGCGTCCACATCCACACTGCCCTTCAACTAGCAAATCGCATCCTCCAATTCCTGCGCATAGAGCGGCCAACGGGCCCGTTTAAAATTGAACCCCATAACCAAGGAACGAGGTTCAGACACCAACCCCCGACCTAACCGACTCAGCACAGGCACATGGTCACTCCCCATAGCTAGGTGAAACGATACCTCCCACCCCCAGCCACCGCTGCCAGAGCAGCCGAAACAATCGTCAGATCCAACCCTGACGAACATCGACCATCTCCCTGAACCCAAGTAGGACTCCCATCATTTAACACCACTAAGCCCTTCTCGTCCAAAAAGTCCTCCAGGACCTTCCCATTCCCATCCGTCCCCCGGGTCCCCCACAACCCACTATGAGCATTAAAATCCCCGACCCACAAAACCGACGAGGAAGCACCCTGACACAGCCCTCGGAGATCTTCACCCACCAAGCCCAAACCTGGGTTAAAAAAATTCACCACTAAAATCACCCCCCTATCGGACCACACCTCAACCACCACGCACTCAAGACCTGAGTCAACACACCGCCAACGATACTGCAGCCCCTCTGCAAGAAACGTGGCACAACCCCCACCAGACCTACCCACCCTGTCTGCTCTCACACACTGATATCCACCCAATTTTAAATCCAAGCAAAGCTTCAGCTCGTCTCCTGTACGCAAATGACGTCCGGTCGGACATCCAGGTCCCCTTCGGCCTTCTTAAACTCCTGACCATTGGCTACCAGACTTCTGGCATTCCATTGCAGGACCCGAAAAGCCATAATTAAGACACCCCCCCCCCCCACACACACACACACACACACCCCCCCACCCTCACTTGACGACCCTTTTCCCCCAGCCTCCAAGTCCACACCCAAACCACCACCAACATCTAGACCACCAACCCCCCGCGCACAAGCGGCACCCCACACTTCCCCTGGATCTACACCAGACAAGCCCAGGAGCTGCTCAGCCACAGCAGTTACCTCCCGCATTGCGTCCGATTTACTAGCCGCCACCATCTTCACCCTCCACGCCTCCCTGTTGGATGGCACAGTCTTTTATCCCAGGTGTGACTCATTACAGGGATTCAGCCCAGCTGTGGTCCTCAGCAGCCTGGAGGAGAGGAGGAGTAGGGGCGGTGTCTGGCTGATCTCTGAGCTGGGTGATCCTGGCTCCTGCATCTGAAGAGGCCAGGCTGGTGACCATAACGCGTATCAAAACTTTCAGCTCGTTCAGGGCCTGTCAAAGATTGTCAAAGTAAATTGGGAAAAGTCATGTGAGAAAAGCTGATATCAGCAGGTCAACGCTGCACCGGAATCAGAACTCAGTCTCAAAACCTGAAAACTAGTTTACAATATACAACCATGAACTTAGTGCACTAATTAAAATGTTTGTGCAAAAGGTGGCCTAGTGGTATAAGTGTCCATTCTGGGACTGGGAGATCGGGGTTCAAATTCTGGTCGGGTCATACCCTGAAAATTGGACCCATCGCCTCCCTGTTTGACAACCTGCTTTAGAGGGCTGGATTGGGGGGTTAAACCACCCAAAGTTCCCAAGCGCAGCCACTGCTGCAGCTCACCACTCCCCACGGGGAGGGTCAAATGTGGAGATAAATTTCACCAGTGTGTGATAACTAATGGGGCTTTATCTATGCCAGCACAAGATGGATTTATTCTTTATACCCTGAATTATTTAGCTTCTTAAGCACATTTGTATTGTCTATCAGCATTTTTAGCCTGTTTTGGGGGAAGCTGAAGCATCCCTAAATGGAATCCCAGCACCCCTAAAAGCAGTTTGAGAACACATCCTGTATGCATGGATATTACGTTCATATATGCAAACTTCCAACTACTATTATATGTTTATAGAAACCATTTTGGACGGCTTTCAAGGAAAAAAATCGCTTTTGGAAAAATAGTCACAGATTACACCAATGCAAACCCTGATTTGACATTGTAAAAAATAACTAGTGGCTGAGCTTCACTAATAAGACACAGTTCAGTGACAGAAACATGACGGACTTTGTGTTTCAGCCCTAAAGTCAGAGATTGTGTTGGATTGTGGAAGAATAGCCACCCACCTCTTTCATCTTGTGACAAAATCAGAAGACGGGACACCTACCAATCCCAGCTGCCACAATGCCAAGTTAAGAGCATTGTAATTGCCATCCTGTCAGATTTAGTTTGAGACTTTATCTAATGCTGAGGCTCCAGTTGGTACTCAGTTTGTTCTTTAGAAATCAAGGTCTGTTTAAAATCATTTTGTGCAGTTAATGTTTAGGCCTGTAATTGTGTTTTTTAGAACAAATCTTTAGGTGAAATTTAAGTCAACATTTGTTCTTTAAGTGGGCTATTGACCAACTCTTTGAGTTTTGCACAAGAAATTCTTTGCCTCCTGTTTTCTTTCCTGCAATTTTTAAGAATTTCTCAAAGTCCTTTTAGATCGTGTCTTATTCAATAGACTGCTACTAAAACAAGAAAAAAGGTAGCTTGTTACATTTGGCTCACAAAAGGAGGAAATATAAATACACGTTTCTTTCCCATTGACCAATGTGGCACTTCCAAATTTAGCTTTGCTTACAATATCTCTGTCTGAGTCGGCTACAATGCTCCTTTACTGATGACAATAAGACCAAACAATAACATCATGGAGACTGCAAAACACACACTTGGCCACACAAACAATGTTCCATTGACTGGCTGCTTTGTTTCCCAGAACAAACAAGTAGAGTGAATTGTAAGTGAAATCATAGCGAAAATGGATGGAATACACACGAAGACTGAGAAAGACTCTTGATTTGTTCTGGACTCAGACAAATTGGCCTGTTCGCAGACTGGAGCTACTCGGTGGTATTTCCTCACGCTGAGGAAACGCCGTTGGTCAGAGCCTTGTGCTAATGGGCTCTGTTTATCACACTTTATTTAGCAACAAGTGTCAGAATGGAAAGCGATGGTGAGCTGTGATAGGGTTCCGATTTTTAGAGTGGAACAGATGAGAAGATATGAAAGAATAAAATAGTGAACACATGCTGTAAAATAGATTTTCCCCATTTTTGCAGAAGTTGACCTCATTTGTTGGCCTGACACACACACACACACACACACACACACACACACACACACACACACACACACACACACACACACACACACACACACAGAGAGAGAGATGCACGCATAGTGAGAAGCCGAAACTCTGTTGACCTTGAATACTCATGCTGAAAATCAATTGAAATGTTCCATTAAGAATGATTGATTCATGTCATTTCTTACTACTTTTCTGCCTCAAGAGATGGACGTAAATGTTCTTCCACTTTAATGTTCAATACAACTTGATTATTTATTTTTAATGTTAACATTTTTACTGCTTTTTGTGTATGTGCACTTGTAAATCACCTGACCCCTGATTAGAAAACCCTGTTCTTTGACCTATTAGGGTCATGTGTCTGCAAAAGTGCTAATATGCATTTTACATATATGTTTTAGAGCTTTTGGTGGACTTTTCAGTTCATCTATCAGCCCATCACGTATCTCTGCTCTCTCCATCTGTCTCTCTTGTCTGCTCGCTGCCAATTGGATTTGTCTCAGCTCTTTGCAGGCTTTAAAGACAGGGAAATCCTAATTGAATTGCTTTGCAGCTCTACTAGTCACTGCATTAATAGACAACTTGACATCAATCATGCTTCCTTTATGTGTCTTTGTCTATGTGTGTGTGTTGGTGTGAGAGGCACAGTGTGGAATTCTTTTTCTATCCGTGGTTAAAAGCCTTTCCATTGATCTAGCTAGAAGCAGCTGTGATCTATCGCTCTGTCCCTAGAGATCATTTCTGCCCTCTCATGCTCTCTCCATGTTGGTTGTCTGCTATTCATTGTGTTTCTAAGTTTTCCTCAATTTTATGGCTCTTGATATCGCTCTCAGCAACATGAAACCCAATATTATTATCAAATGAGTCAGCTCTATGGTACTGAATAGTTAGATAATAGGTGTCCTCTCTTGTTTCCATTCCCAGGGTCAGAAAAACCTGGTGCCTAGTTCATCCTCAGCAGGCTCACAGTCAACATTAGCTCTCATTGGAGTTTAACTGCATAAAAGCATATTTTACTGAGACGGTGCACAGTTGCAGCATTTCTGTTGGTGGTGAGTCTTTAACGTCAGTGCTGCAGATGTTCGAGGCCTGCTGGAGAGAAACAGGCTGGCTGGAAAATTTGGATCAACGCACGTGTTTTCAAGGTAGGACTAAAAACATTCTTCCCTTGAAGACTCTTTGTCAGTAACACTTTACTTTTCTTGATCAAATTCAAATTCAAATCAAATTCAAATTTTATTTGTCACATACACATTCATACACAGTACGAAATGCAGTGAAATGCCTTACACAACTGCTTGTGACCTAAGAGTTGAAAAGGAAAAAAACTGTACACCACAAATTAAAATGAAGGGTAAATTTAACTGGGAAAGAGTAAGGCAAAATATATCTGAATTAAAGTTGAATAATAGAATAGCTTTACAACAAAATACACAATACAATACAAATTAGAATAAAAGGTAAATGATGAATAGTATCTCATTACTGAGTCATTCATTCATTTTATTTATAAAGCACTTTCTCTTAGGCAATCAAAACAGCCCAAGGGGCTGAACATGATAATGAACACCAGAAAGCACTAAAAATGAAACTTAAAAAGTGATACAACCTAGTGATGGAAGTGCGACATGAGCTACTGCTAAATAGCAAGGAAATGAAGTGTAAATACAGCTAGACACTCGATACAGATAAAATATAAAACTAGCAAGATGCAAAACATTAAAACACACAAAAAAAGTATGTACAAATTGGACAATTAATGCATGGTGGCACAGTTGTTAGTACTGTTGCCTCGCAGCAAGAAGGTTGCAGGTTCAAAACTTGGCTGTGGCCTTTCTGCGTGGAGTTGCATGTTCTCCCCATCATGCGTGGGTTTCCTCCGGGTACTCCGGTTTCCCCCACAGATCACAACATTCTCTACAAGTTAACAATTGTATGTCGCTTTGGATAAAAGCGTCTGCCAAGTAAATAAACATAACAGTAAACATAAGTAAGCAAGCTGACACATTAAGTCTAATTTATACTTCTACGCAGCACCATTATGCATCGGCACAAGGTCTCTCCGACCGGCTCACAGAGGCTGACGGAGACATGCCCAACTTTTTAACTATCGGTCGAAAGTGACTGAGATTGCGAGCTTGTGACTGGTCAGGATGCCGCTTCCTTAAAATTTGTCAACAGCACCGCCATTGCCCCCTAGCGGCAGACACGGAACAGAGTGAAGAACACCTCGTGGAAAAAGTCTGAAATATAAACCTTTTTTTCACCCGTGACTGAAGAAGTACAAAGATATGCCGCAAGTGTTTTTTCGTGGACGGAAATGATGAGAAACATGGGTTTGGAGGTGCCAATCGCATGAAGAGGCGGAGGAGAATGAGGTACAAATTGGTCTGTGCTAAAAAGTCTCTAAAATACATTAAACAATGTAAACACAATGGTATATACACTATCGTGGACCGGATATGTGACTGTAATGGTGGCAGGATATCTCAGAATAGCGCTATGCCCTCTGTTGTCCTTGTGGGGGAATTGTTTTGTAACACTCCCCAGGTGATGGAGAAGTCCAAAAGTAAAATGTCTCCAACAAGGCATGTAGGTCTCACCCTCGCGAAGCTTACGGTATTAATTAGGCTTTATTCAGACAAGAACAATCAGAACAGAGGCCTAACGGGATGCTGTGAGTCTATAGTGTAGTTTCAGTTTTGCTTTAAAGGCCTCAAATGAGGTTGTATGTCTAATTTCCAGTGGAAGTCTAGCCTACAATTTAGGGGCTATGGTGGGAAAAGTTCTGTTCCCGCGGCTTTTAAGTGTGGCACAACCAGCGGCGTGGTCTTTAGGGGGCGTGTCTCTGAAGGAGGCGATAAATAAGGTAGAGCTGTCCCTGCTAGTGACTAGAACATGAACACAAGAACCTTGACCTCAATGCCTGGAAGCCACTGCAACGCACATAAAACTGGAGAGATGCTCTCCCATTTTTTCGCACTGGTAATGAACCTCGCTGCAGCATTCTGAACCATCTGCAGCCTTGATGGTGTTGATGTAGTCAGACCGATGTTGTCAGTAGTCAAGCCTGGAAAGCACGAACGCAGATGTGACTATCTTTTTGGATAACTTAGGTACGGTTCTATTTTAGCCTAGAAATCTAGACAAACATAGCGATAGCAAAAAATATTTAGCTCCGCAGGTTGTTTCAGCCATTGTAGCCTCAGCAGGTCTACCATTGGCCCAAACAGCCAATCACAGTGCTCTAACTTGAATGGGTGGGCTTAATACTAGAGCTATGGAGGAGAACAGAAAACTTAGGATGATTTAGACTTGGGCTTTTCTCTGAGACATGAGCAGATAGAGGTACTTAAGTCATTTTTTTAAAATAAGGGGTGTATTTGCTGCTGCTTCGTCTTCTACGGTGTATGGCAGACTGCCCAACTGACTGATTTCTGTTGATGAATACGTCCTAATTTTGTTCGTTGCTCAGTTTGGTCCTAGCAATGTCCAGCTGCACGCAGACACAGATTTAAAAACAACCATAGAATCAGCCCCACACCTGGACTGTTTTAGTGGTTCATGGCCAGACAACAAATTTACAACTATTGGATGGCTTGCTAGTCTTCTAGTTAAATCCTGTGAACTTTTACACTCCCTTTTGTGAAATGTTTTTATCTTTACAAAAATATTTTGTTTTCTTAAGTATGGTGTAAAAACTATTCAATAGGCAGACTAGAAAATTGTGAAATTTAATTGACGTCCCTTAGATTTAAACTGTGTGCGACTAAGGTAAAGTTGATGCACATACTTTTTATTATTCTGTATATAAAAATAGCCTTTTTATTATAATTGAATTCCTTCTCTTTGGAGTCCTGAACAATATTTAGCAGAAATTTGCAGGGAATAAATTATGAAATTGTATTTTTTTTGGTATCATGAGATGTTTGCAGTGATTTTTACCTTTAGGTAGGAAGTACGTCTTTACACCTCTGTAGGGTGTCTCTTGTGTTTCTCATATACGTGCGATTTCAAATGATCTGATGGGAAATATTCATAATAAACACAATCTTGCAGCATTTTTATTTAGCACTCAACAGAGTAAATTATCTTAAGTCTTTTTCATGTGATCATCAAAGAAAAATGACCCACTTTGACAGGGATCACTCATCCAGAAAACACACACACCTCATATGTGAGGACAGGCTAAAATGAAGTTAATTATTATCCCTGTTTTTTTAAGCATTCTCCAATGAGTGTTTTGCTCCCCTACCTCTTCTCCCTCCATCTCTCCATCTCACTGCTTCTCTCTCTTGCACATATTTACATGAGTGGTAGATGGAGTGAAAAAGTAAACATATAATTAGGCTACATTACTTTGATTGTTTTCTTTTCAGATTATGCTTGCTGTCATCTCTGTGCCGCAAGAAAGGGCGAAGGGCATGATGCGCTTGTACAAGGGGATGGATAGGGAGGGGTGCGACGCAGGATGCTGTTTGCACATTCATGCAAATGTGTGTGTGTGTGTGTGTGTGTGTGTGTGTGTGTGTTTTAGGGCCTCCCGCTGTGAATCGAGATTGTATTTCTAGCAGGGCCTAATGTTTTGTTTACCGAGTGTTAAAAATGCCTAATTAATAATCCCCCAGTCTGTCTGACAGTATGAAAGAGAGACAAGGAAAGCAACAGAAGAAAAAGACATCAAGAGAAAAGCTCAGCTCTTTTAAGAGTACACACATCAGCGCAACCGTAACACAATCCGAAGCTAAATTGCACATCAATGAAAAACAGCACCCGCCTCTGGTTAATTCCTTTCCACTCATCTAATTTCCCCTCCAAGCATCTTTAAGATGAAGAGATGTTTATTTTAAAACTGCTTCTGACACGGAGGTATTGAAACACGGAGGCCAAATGGATTAACACAAATATGTTGATGCAAAGATTAGTTTTGTCAAGTTGTGATTTATGATCTCACTCACAGATTTATAGTTTGAGTTAAAACCTCCAATATTGAAGGAATAATGAGCCGGCTGGTGGCTGAAAGCAAGGTGTCTGATACAACATGGATGGCTTTTAAAGTAAAGGTGCTTCACATAAACAGAGTCACAAGTGAAATACAGACAAAAAAGTACAATGTGGAGAATCTTAACGAAAACCCAATTAGAAAAGTAAAAAGTGTCCTTGTGGTTTTTAGAGGACTTTAGACTGCCAGTACAACAGAAAACAGTTCATTCCCCAGCCATGCTGTAGATGCAACAGGCTGGAACGAATGATCTCCTCTGGTTTTCTAATAAAGCTCAATACAAATTTTATTGCAACCATTCAAAAGGAGGAAATAAAGGCACACATTTTATGTTAATTTTTAGATACCAACTTCCTCAGTTTGGACCTATTTTTCAGATTCAATAGTCAGAGCACCCAAATTGCTCAAGTTTGTCTTGAATGCCAAATTTAACCACCAATTTAAAACTTGATCAGAGGGGCTATTCTCTTTGGGGCAGTTATCAGACATTCAGTCTTTTCAGAGTTTGTTTGAAATGTCATCATTATCATTCCTGATAGACACTTGAACAGTTAAGACACTTTAAAGACCTCTGAATCCCTGAAGAAGCATTGTGACTGAATGCAAAAATGGTTTAAGGTTATCTGGCATTCAACAGTTATCTGTCCAAGAGGATGTATATTAAAATAGGACAGAACCCAAAACAGAGCTTTGGGGCACCACTCATAACAGTCTGTCTTACAGTCTTTGACTCAAATGGATGCTGAAACTTCTATTTGATAAGTAAAACCTGAGCAAATCTAAAACAGTTCCCGAGACCCAAAACAAATAACCCAGAAACAGAGGTTGCTTGTGAGGATCAGACATGGTAGATGCAGATATGACCACAGAACATCAAAGTCCGTAATGATCCCTATTTTTTCTTGGATTGTCATGTTATCATTACTTAATCTGAACCTTTTGATCACTTGACTTGATGCAGATGAGCAATAATATGATGTAATTCTGTCTAATGCACCAGGAGAACCTGTGACTGGAGAATTGTTTTAGAGCTTGTTCCCCCTTATTCAGTAGTTTGTGGTAGTATACCAACAGTCGCCTTTGGTTCTCATCTCAGAACAGGAATAAGATCAGAGAAGTGTGGTTGTTGAAAAGTCAGCTGTACAGAAGTGGACTTTGTGTATCTGTGTGTGTTCACAAGGTATAAATGTCAAGTGTCATGTCAAAAGCTGACTGGCTCTACCTCACAGACGACATGTCTTCCTCTCCGATGCTTTCTCTGAGTCTCTACTGAGGCAGAGAAACAGCGGGGGTCACGGTGAGTGAGGTGTCAGACAGCAAGAAGCTCAAAGTGTGGAAGAGGAAAACAGCAGTGAAGGAGGAGGAGACGAATAGCTTTTGCTTCATGTGGTGTTTTCTCAGCTCTGGTTGTCTTCTGTCATCGTGCATCCAAACTAAACTTTTTCCTGTGTTTTATGTGTGTGTTACAGGGTGGTTCGCTGGGACTGTGAAATGGATATTTCAGCACTAGAGGGTCACTTTGATGTTGTCATGTGTGCGGACTGGTGAGCACATGCACACACACTCTCTCTCTCACACACACACACACACACACTTATCTCTGCATGCATAATGTTCATTCCCACTTTTGTGCGACACATTTGGCATCCCCCCGCCCCCACACCAATGTCTGGACCTTCCTATCCACATTGGGCCGCACACTCTCACACACGCCTGCCTCCATTTTACACCAAATTGCCTCGCTTTCATGCTTAGTGTCCCAGCAAATGGACGACTTAGGCAAATTGCAAATAATTGCACCTTGACAAGAAAGGAGACTCCATAAGATAAAGGAAGAGTTGAGGATTGATAGAGTAGAAGAAATTGAAGTGAAACTGGGGTGAAAGAGCGGAGTAGACGACAGTTTCAGAAACTCAGTTGCCAACATGGTCTTTTCTTAGAATGTTTTTTTTTCATGCAATACCCCAAAGGAACGTGCACATTTACATCTAAGCAAGAATATATTTTAAGCCTACAAATTCTCTTTTGTTGCTATTTCAAAACAGTTCACATGCACTGTGGAAAAGCAAGTGGAATTTAGATATTTTTGGTCCAACGAATGACAAAAACATAGGAAGTGTTTATCTGAAGTGTGCAGCAGCATTGTTGTTTGGAACATCTTCCTTCATTCTTCAGGTGGCGTCCTGCTAAGAGTCTAAATCTCCAATATGGGCAGTCGAGTTGAAACTTTTAGAAGTCAAATCAGAAAATCAGCTTGCATAAAGGCGTGCATCTCCCTGCACAAGTGTGAGCAGTGTGTGCTAAGTGATGCATTAGCAAATGGCATTATCATTATTTTAATGTCACGGTCATTACAGGTAATAGTCAGGTCCAACACCCATAGAGAGAAGGAGAGCAAGCAGCTAATAGAGGGTATTTTACAGCAAACTGGTGTGTGTGTGTGTGTGTGTGTGTGTGTGTGTGTGTGTGTGTGTGTGTGTGTCAGACAGAAGTGGATTGTCTGAGAACAGTTAATTGTACATAAAGTTTTGATATTGCAGGTTCCTTTCCCATTTATCGCAGCAGAGAGCCGCATAAGGTTGTGTGTGTGTGCAAAATTTCTGTCTTTTCTGCACATGAATGTGAGTGATTGTGCGATGATTGTAGTGCTGGTGTTTGAAGAGTGATGGCTGATGAATTAACGAGGAAGTCATTGTGATGATCACCTTGGAAAAGGTCAACAACAGCGAATTCCACTCCAATTAATTACAGCTCCTACCAGTTACTGTAGATGCACCGCTGAGAGTAGAGGAGAGGAAACAGGAGAGGACAGAAGAGGAGAGGAAAGGAAAGGAGAGGAGACAGGAGAGGAAAGGAGACAGGAGAGGACAGAAAAGGAAAGGAGAGGAGAAGACAGGAGAGGACAGAAAAGGAAAGGAGAGGAGAGGAGAGAAAAGTAAAGGAAAGGAGAGGAGAAGACAGGAGAGGAGAGGAGAGGAAACAGGAGAGGACAGAAAAGGAAAGGAATGGAGGGGAGAGGAGACAGGAGAGGACAGAAAAGGAAAGGAAAAGAGAGGAGAGGAGAGAAGACAGGAGAGGATACAAAAAGGAAAGGAGAGGAGAGGAGACAGGAGAGGACAGAAAATGAGAGGAGACAGGAGAGGACAGAAAAGGAAGCAAAGGAAAGGAAAGGAAAAGAGAGGAGAGGAGACAGGGGAGGAGAAAAGAGAAGACAGGAGAGGACAGAAAAGGAAAGAAAAGGAGAGGAGTTAGGAGAGGACAGAAAAGGAAAGGAAAGGAGAGGAGAGGAAAAGACAGGAGAGGAGATGAGAGGAGAGGATAGGAAACAGGAGAGGACAGAAAAGGAAAGGAACAGAGGGGAGGGGAGAGGAGAGGAGACAGGAGAGGACAGAAAAGGAAAAGAGAGGAGAGGAGACAGGAGATGACAGAAAAGGAAAGGAGAGGAGACAGGAGAGGACAGAAAAGGAAAGGAGAGGAGAGGAGACAGGAGAGGACAGAAAAGGAGAGGAGAGGCGAGTAGAGGAGACAGGTGAGGACAGGAAAGGAAAGGAGAGGAGAGGAAACAGGAGAGGACAGAAAAGGAAAGGAACAGAGGGGAGAGGAGACAGGAGAGGAGAGTAGACAGGAGATGACAGAAAAGGAAAGAAAAGGAAAGCAAAGGAGAGGAGAGGAGACAGGAGAGGAGAGAAGACAGGAGAGGACAGAAAAGGAAAGGAGATGAGAGGAGACAGGAGAGGACATTAAAGGAAAGGAGAGGAGACAGGAGAGGACATAAAAGGAAAGGAGAGGAGAGGAGACAGGTGAGGACAGAAAAGGAAAGAAAAGGAAAGGAAAGGAAAAGAGAGGAGAGGAGAGGAGAGAGGAGATGTGAGGAGAGGAGAAGAGAGAGGAGAGAACAGAAAAGGAAAGGAAAATAAAGGAGAGGCGAAGACAGGAGAGGAGAGGACATAAAATGAAATGAAAGGAAAAGAGAGGAGAGGAGACAGGAGAGGACAGAAATGGAAAGGAGAGGAGACAGGAGAGGACAGGAAAGGAGAGGAGAGGCGAGTAGAGGAGACAGGTGAGGACAGAAAAGAAAAGGAAAGGAAAAGAGAGGAGAGGAAACAGGAGAGGACAGAAAAGGAAAGGAACAGAGGGGAGAGGAGAGGAGAGGAGACAGGAGAGGAGAGTAGACAGGAGAGGACAGAAAAAGAAAGGAAAGGAGAGAAGAGGAGACAGGAGAGGACATAAAAGGAAAGGAGAGGAGAGGAGACAGGAGAGGACATAAAAGGAAAGGAGAGGAGACAGGAGAGGACATAAAAGGAAAGGAGAGGAGAGGAGACAGGTGAGGACAGAAAAGGAAAGGAGAGGAGAGGAGAGAGGAGAGAACAGAAAAGGAAAGGAAAAGAAAGGAGAGGCGAAGACAGGAGAGGAGAGGACAGAAAATGAAATGAAAGGAAAAGAGAGGAGAGGAGACAGGAGAGGACAGAAAAGGAAAGGAGAGGAGAGGAGACAGGAGAGGACAGAAAAGGAGAGGAGAGGTGAGTAGAGGAGACAGGTGAGGACAGAAAAGGAAAGGAAAGGAAAAGAGAGGAGAGGAGAGGAAACGAGAGGACAGAAAAGGAAAGGAACAGAGGGGAGAGGAGAGGAGAGGAGACAGGAGAGGAGAGTAGACAGGAGAGGACAGAAAAGGAAAGGAAAGGAGAGGAGAGGAGACAGGAGAGGACATAAAAGGAAAGGAGAGGAGAGGAGACAGGAGAGGACATAAAAGGAAAGGAGAGGAGAGGAGACAGGTGAGGACAGAAAAGGAAAGGAGAGGAGAGGAGAGAGGAGAGGTGAGGAGAGGAGAGGAGAGAACAGAAAAGGAAAGGAAAAGAAAGGAGAGGCGAAGACAGGAGAGGAGAGGACAGAAAATGAAATGAAAGGAAAAGAAAGGAGAGGAGGAGACAGGAGAGGACAGAAAATGAAATGAAAGGAGAGGAGAGGAGAGGAGGTGTTTGGGGTTAGACCTTCTTTCACTTGCAGCACCTCCTCATGATCATCATTAAATAGAAGGTGTTCTGTTAAATCATATAAATAGAAGGGATTTTCTCTATTTGGAGCATTATAATAATGTTACATGGTGTGGCAAAAAATATATTTGGCATCCAAATATTGTGCAAGTTGTCCCACTTAAAAATAGGTCTGTAATTTTCATCATAAATAAACCTCAAGAATGTAAAAAAAAATCCATGAAATCACATTGTTTGATTTTTAGAATATATTTGTATAATGGTGTACAAGTATTTAGCACCTGCAATAATGGAAATTAAACTTGTTTTATGTATAAAAGACTCCTGTCCACAACTTCAATCAGGCTCCATCTCCACTATGATCAAGACCAGAGAGCTGTCTAATGACACCAGGGACAAGATTGTTCACCTGCACAAGACCGGGATGAGCCAATCTACAATAGACGAGCAACTTGGTGAGAGGAGATAAACCTTTATTAGAAAATGGAACAAATACAAGGTCACTGACAATCTCCCTCAACCTGGGGCTCCATGCAAAAAGTCACCTCGTGGGATACAAATAATCTAAGGAACGCTAAGGAAACAGCCCAGAGCTACATGAAAGGAACTGGTCAATGACCTGAAGAGATCTGGGACAACACAGTAAAGGTTACTGCTAGTAACACACATCATGGAATAAAATCATACAGTGCTAAAAAGGTCCTCCTGCTCAAGCACACGTCCAGGCCCATCTAATGTGTGCCAGAGAAAATCTGGAGAGGTGGATTGGGAGAATGTCATGGTCAGATGACACTAAAATGCAACTTTTGATGGAAACACCACTGCCGTGTTTGGACAGTGAAGAATTCTGAGTTGCATTCCAAGAAAACCATTCCATTATTTTTTCTTCCAAGAAGCCAGGCTTTTTTGGAATCTTTATCATAACATCTCCACACTTTTTGAAAGTTTTCTTTTGCCGTCATCAAATTGTCCACACTTTTTAGGTTCAGTAGGTGCTTATTTCTTTGAAAATTGTGTTTTTTAAGCTCTTTAGCTGTGACCTATGAATCATTCAGGCATAAAAAGGCTCCTTAACTCAAAAGATGAGCCAGTGTCGACACCTAACAGCATAACACAACTTAGCAAAGAACCAAAGTCAACTTAAAATTCCAGACACTTTGTTAAGAGGAGCTTCTCACAAAGACTGCTGGTTTCTTCAGCTGAATCCTTCAGATAACCTAAAAGGTGAGATGTATTGTAGAACCAACAAGGTGAGTCTCAAAGGAAGTTCTGGCTGAAGACATGTCAGATAATGGATGATCAGCTGATGCATCTCAGGTCTCGTGTCACTTTTTCACTTCCATAAAGACGTGACTTTGAAGTTCTGCTTGTAGTTCTTAGGTCTGATACTTCGTTTTTTTTTTGTTTTTTTTTGTCGTCCTCTTTTTAAGTACTCCCTGAACAATGTGCTGTCATGGCCAGATAATGAACAAAACAATAGTGTAAAAATGTAAATCTAGAAGAAAAACCTTGAAAGATCTTCAAAAAGCCTGGAGACCTTTTGATCCAAACCA